CAAGTATGGGGATTCCACAACCTCTCTGAGCAAACTGGCCACCACCACAGCTAAAGAGTTTTTCCTTATCCTTAAATGGAATTTCCTGTTTCAGTTTGCACCCATTGCCTCTTGCCTTGGGCACCACTGAGAAAAGTATGGCTCCATCCTCTTTATACCCTTGATCAGGTATTTGTGCACACTGACAAGATCTCCCCTGAGACTCCTCCTGAAGCTACACAATCCCACCTCTCAGCCTCTTCTGGCAGATGCTCCAAAGTTTTAATCTTTATGGCCTTGGACCTTCTCCAGTATATCCATGTCTTTCTTGTGGGAAGTCAAAAGCTGGACACAGCACTTCAGATGTGGTGTCACCTGGGCTGAACAGAGGGGAAGGATCATCTTCCTTGATCTGAAGAGCAATGCTCTTCCTAGCATCGCCCAAGATGCTGTTGGCCTTCTGTGCTGCCGGGGTCCACTGCTGGCCCATGGCCAACTTGCTGACCCAGAAGTCCTTTTCTGCAAAGTTGCCTTCTAACTAATTGATCTCCAGCCTACGCTGCTGCACAGGGTTATTCCACCCCACCATCCAGGACTTTGTTGAACGTCATGAGATTCTGACCTGCCCATTTCTCCAGCCTGTTGCACTCCTTCTCAGATGGCAGTACAAGCACCCGGTCTGTCAACCATTCCTCCCAGTTGTGTATCATCTGTAAACTTGCTGAGGATGCACTCTGTCCCACCATCCAAGTCATTAATGTAATGGCCAATACTGGCCCCAGTGTCAGATCCCAGAATACTCCACTAGTAATAGGACCGCAGCTGGACTTTGTGCTGCTGGTAACAGTCATTTAAGCCCAGAAGTTCAGCCAGTTTTCAATCAGCCACACTGCCCATTTATCTAGTCCATACTTCATCAGGGTGTACATAGACTTTTATGGGACAAAGCGGTGAAAGCCTTGCTGAAGTCAAGATAAACAACATACACTGCTCTCCCCTAGTCCACCATGCCAGTCATTTCATTGTAGAAGGCTAATGGATTGGGCAGGCATGAGTCTGAACTCCCGAAGACCAGCTTTATGATCCTGCTGCTTGCCTTGTTCCCTTCTCTCAAGATCCTGGACTCCACCATCTCATGGTCACTATCAACCTGACAGAGCCCCATGTATCCGTGCTGCTCTCACATAAAATGCTAGTTCTGGTCCCCACTGCCCTGGCCTGTCCTTCCTGAACAGCCCGTATCTGCCCACAGCAGCACTCAGTCCTCTGAGCTATCCCACCACGTATCTGTGATCCCAAGGAGACTGTAGCCCTGTAGCTGCACACAACGGTTCTAATGCCTCTTCTTTGTTTTGTACAACAGTGTACAGACACTTCAGAGCACCCAGATAGGCTCATTTCCATGAACTCTGAGAGCTTCTTGAATACTGTTAATGGGTAATGTGGAAAATACCGTGTCAAATGAACTGCTGGAGAGAAAAAAGGCCTTCCAAAACATTAATTCAGTGCATATCACATTACAGAGTTCCTCTTTGTAGCACTTTTAATGCTGCCATGCTTAATTAATACTAGTGAATTGAGCCACCTCTTCTTTCTTCTAGTATAGAATTAAAAAACTGACTTACATTTTCAAAAATTCTAGGTGCCTGTACTTTCTGTGGGTTTCAGTTAGACTTGCAAATGCTGAGTGCATCTGAAAATCACTAGCTTGCTTTGTTTTCAGACATACTGACATGGAGGATGCTGTAAATGTAACTAAGCTGCTCTTTTTAGATGCACATCAGTTAATTTATCTCCTCTCTCTGTCAAAGAAGAGTGAACAGGAAGGCCACAATGTTACATGTGAAATGCTTTCAGGGATATAGCACATATTTAAAAAGTCCTTATCCCCATTATCCTATTCATTTTGGTTGTTATCTGAGCCTAACACTTCTCTTATGAAATCCAAACTAAGTCAAGTATGAGCAAAGTTCAAATTTTAATATGGGGTTTGGATATATTCAACTTTTCAGTAATGGCAACAGCTTTTCAAAATGAAATCCTTTTACAAATCTTTCCCTGAAGAAACACGGTGTGAGACATTTTTGACATCCTAGCAAATAACTTCAAACTTGTGCTAGGAAGACTCCTGAAAGAAGGACTTTTATATTCGAAAAATGATACATGACAGAGCTAAAGAATTATCTGGCCTCTGAAAACATTTTCATTATGGGCCTGGACCTTTAAGGGTACTGCATGAAAGAAGTCCTAATCTCAGTGGGCCAGCTTGTTTTCTAGCTTCCCCCCCTGCACCCCCCAAAGTGGAGTAAAGATATAGAAACTGCGTATAATTTGCAAGAGGAATTTTAATGGCAAGAGGAAACCTACCTGTTGACATAAAGCTAACCAACCGTTCCTGTTAAGGGTGCATCCCTCCCTTTACTCTCCTTCCTGAAGAGAAGAGCTTTAAGAGTGTACCTAACTGTAATAGAGACTCATCCTAGCGACTTCATGGGGATTTTCAGGTGCAAGTCTGTTTCCAGCTAAGCCACTGAGGTCTTACCACTGACATAAAAGCAGAATAGGATCCCTGGAGCGTAGACAGAATTTTACTGCCTGTTTATTAGAAAAATTGAAGTGTTTAAGGAAGACTTTAATCTGTTTCTTATTTCCTTCTATTGTGAAGTCATAATACTGTATTTGTGACTGTAAAATAACAGCTGTGCTCTGCACGGAAGAGTCCTTATTAAGCACAAATGTCTCAAGAAGAATCAAATGCAATATAGTATTCATTAAATAAACACCCTGTTGTATAAACACACCTTTATCTTCAAACATGATCCAGTTTAAAAGCTTGCCTTAGCATCAGAGCCTATATTCTTGCTGATTTTTCTAAGACGCGATGCTCTGAGGGCCGAGGTGTATGTGAGGTCATGGTAAAGTTACATTGTGTTTATTTTGCCAGATTTTTAAAATCTGAAATGCTGCCCTGTTTTCAGCTTTGGTTTTATGATAGTTCTTCTCACACTCCTTTGGAATGAACGCAGTTAACTGCATGACTACATCTATATTTTTAAAACAATGTAATTTACTGGTACGATATTATTAGTTTTATTTTTGAACAACCTCCCCCAACATACGTGGTGCCTGATATTCATGTAGTTTATTGTTGCAGCAACTGTATTAGTGCTTTCATGCTTGCTATTTTCCCGTTAGTCTAATATAACTGGCTGACCAAACACCATCCATCTTTCATTAACTTATGTTAGAACAAAATTCTGGCTCATAGCAGGCAACTTGAAGAAGCAACTTAATGCTGCTCCAGGTTGCATAAGTCTTCATTACTCTTACAGCAGGCAGATAGCTGCCTGCAGAAACAGCATGGAGACCCACATATTAGAAAATGTATTGCCTTGCCTTGTTTTTGAAAAACTGGAGGATGTAGAACTTTGATTAGCCAGTCTGACTATCCATCTTCATTGTGCAGAATTTTACTGCATATGCCAAAAGGATCCTGTTTTTTTTCCTGTAATGCTTAATCTGTCCTTAACATATCATTAAAATGACTGAAGTTACAATGTAATTAGAAACAACAAGAGATTCATACACAACTGATGTCTTCTGCATTAAAAAAGTAAACAAAGTTGCTTTTAAAATAGATCTTGCGTGGTATTTACACATATATGCTTAACTTTTGTAAGTGAAACTACTTAGCATTGAGCTATTAAATGCACGTGAAAGCCTTTTGTCCATGTAATAGCAAGTATCTGGGAAGTCATGCCCTTCATGTAACATTCTATTAAATTGCTACTGAGATACGAGGCAATCTGGATAGATGTCTCGGTGGGGCTAAATTTTTGGTTGTTACTGATGGTTTGTTGATGGTTGTTACCGATTTTGTAATTTGGAAAGTGTTACCGTATCCAGTTAAGGTCTTCTGAAAACGGGCAGAGGCAGAGCCGTTGTAGCAAGTGGGCGCCTCTCACTGAAGCCTCCTCCCCAAATGCTAGATCTTGCCGCACATTCATTTCTTACCGTCCTCCAATCGCTTCTCCCCGGCTAACTCCTCTCTACCGCGCCAGCTGCAAGGCCGTGCTCTGCCAGGGCACCAGTTGCACCTTCCATTGCACCAGCTGTTTTCCCTGCTTCCTTAGCTGCGCAATTTCTGCACAAAAAAATAACCTTAGACCCCCTTCTTCCCCCTCCTCCTTTACAGGTTTTGCTACGAACAAGGGCTGCGCTAGGAGGCAACTCAGTTACAACATAAGTAGCATGGGCCAAATCGTTCCAGTGGAGTAGTTAACGCTCTGCTCATGGGCTACGCTCAGGGGCAACGCCGCACCTTTCACCACTCACAGGTCCCTACAACGACACCGCCACACGCGGCACCTCGGTGCGTTTCTGTGCCACAGGCCGCTTCATCTGGGTCGCGTAACACGGACCCGCAGCACGGACCCAACTTACTGCCGGCCCTGCGCTGGGCCCTCACCAGCACCCAGGGCCGCCGCCCTCAGGCCAAGCGCCCTCCGAGCCAC